TGGAGACAGAGGCTCCCTGCCAATGTCTTGAGGTGACACGTGGGAAAGGGTGGTGTCTCACTCTTCAGAATGCCAGCTTTCTTTATCTATTTTCAACATAGTGCACCTTCACCCCGTCCAGTTGTGCCTAGGGTATCAAATGCACGGGTGTCTCTGGCCCAGTGTCTCCAGAGAGTGGGTCCCCGGCTTCTGCCAGGTGCCGGCTTGCTGTTGCTTGGCTGCAGGGAGCTGGGGAGGGACTTGCTTTTTTCACGTATGTTCTCCAGTCCTCTCTTCAGCTCACCCTTGCCTCTCATCCAGAGGATCCGCTTTGGAGCCGGCCAGGGGTCCGCCATGCAAACTGGATGCCTCTGTTCAGCTCTCCATTCTTATCTTTTCTTTTTTCTTGTTGTTTTTTGTTTTTTGAGATGTAGTTTCGCTCTTGTTGCCCAGGCTGGAGTGCAATGGCGCAATCTCGGCTCACCGCAATCTTCACCTCCTGGGTTCAAGCACTTCTCTTGCCTCAGCCTCCCAAGTAGCTGGGACTCCAGGCACACGCCATCATGCCCAGTTAATGTTTGCATTTTTAGTAGAGACGGGGTTTTACCGTGTTGACCAGGATGGTCTCAATCTCTTGACCTCATGATCCGCCTGCCTCAGCCTCCCAAAGTGCTAGGACTACAGGTGTGAGCCACCGCGCCTGGCCTTTTTTTTTTTTTTGAGACAGAGTCTCACTCTGTTACCCAGGCTGGAGTGCAGTGGCACAATCTCAGCTCACTGCAACCTCTACCTCCCAGGTTCAAGCAATTCTTCTGCCCCAGTCTCCTGAGTAGCTGGGATTACAGGCATGCATCACCATGCCCGGCTAATTTTTGTATTTTTAGTAGAGACGGGGTTTCACCACATTGGCCAGGCTGGTCTCAAACTGCTGGGTAATGCACCCACCTTGGCCTCCCAAAGTGCTGGGATTACAGGCATGAGCCACCGCACCCAGCCGATCTCCGTTCTTTTTGCTGCTTGCTTTCCATCTATTTTTCAAGTCTCATTGGTGGATTTACCAGACATTTACTAGGCAATAGAGAGGAAAGGCATGAGGCCCCAGCTCCTCTGCACATCCCAGTTCCCAGCTGTAGTTTGCTTTCCATCTTCCAGATTGTTTTCTTCTTCTTTCTTTTGGAGACAAGTTCTCACTCTATCCCCCAAGCTGGGGTGCAGTGATGCAATCACAGCTCACTGCAGCCTCCACCTCCCCGGCTCAGGTGATTCTCCCACCTCAGCCTCCCTAGTATCTGGGACTACAGGCGTGCGCCACCTCACGTGGCTGATTTTTTGTATTATGTATAGAGATGGGGTTTCACCACGTTGCCCAGGCTAGTCTGAAACTCCTGGGCTCCTATCCGCCTGCCTTGATCCTCCAAAGTGCTGGGATTACAGATGAAAGCCACCGTGCCTGGCCTCTCCTTTCTCCTTTTGGGTTTATCTTCCTATGTCTTTGCTATCAATTTTGGCTGGGTTTCAGCAGGAGTGTTGGTCTTCTGTGGGTAATTGGGATCCCCCTTGGAGCCTCTGCCCTCCCTGTCCCTTTTCTCTGGAATCCTCTTCCTTCACTTTTCACTTTAGTGACCCATTGTTATGCTTCCTGTCTCTACTCAGCTTGTTGCCTCCTCAGGGAAGCCTTCCCTGACTGCTTCACCATGTTCCATTCTCTCATCTCCTTTGAACTTGGGGTGCCCTAGACTGAAGGCTGGTGTGAACTCCCCTGTGGAACCCGTTTCTTTGATAGTGTTTATTGCAGCCTTGAATTACTAGACATTGATTGGTTTACGTGGTCTCCCCTGCACCCAGGGCAGCATGCTGGCACACAGTAAATGTCTGCACAGCCGAGCAAAGGTTTAGAGGGGAAATGGGTGCAGGCCTGGGCGGCAGGGGCTGACTGTAAGGGAGGGGTGGGGATCTGCGGCTCATGTCTGGCCACTGAACGAACCTGCCTCAGCAAGGAGGGCAGGGCAGAGGGCCAAAGGCTGGCAGGGGCTGGGTGCTGGGCGTCCAGGGCAGCTGGCATCTGACCAGCCCAGCCTCCCCTCCTGCTGCTCCAGACAGACCCTGTGCGGCTGACACAGCTGTATGAGCAGGCCCGGTGGGACCTGCTGCTGGAAGAGATTGACTGCACGGAGGAGGAGATGATGGTGTTTGCCGCCCTGCAGGTACCAGGCGGGCCTGGGGGCGTGGGAATGGCTGAGAGGTGGGCTAGTCCCAGGGCAGGAAGGGCCTTCCAGAGTGAGGGCTACCTCCAGCCAAGCCTGGCCTGGGGGTACTGCTACAGACCTGGCTGCTGGACTCAGCCCTCCCTGGGGGCACTGCTTCGGGACCCGGCTGCCAGACTGAGCCCTCCCTGGCTTCATGCCACCTAGTACCACATCAACAAGCTGTCCCAGAGCGGGGAGGTTGGGGAGCCGGCTGGCACAGACCCAGGGCTGGACGACCTGGATGCGGCCCTGAGCAACCTGGAGGTGAAGCTGGAGGGGTCGGCGCCCACAGACGTGCTGGTGAGGAGGGGCTCAGGGTGGGGATTGGTCAGGGACGTGTGTGAGGCCCCGGGTGCCCCTCTGACTCTGTTCCTCCTATAGGACAGCCTCACCACCATCCCAGAGCTCAAGGACCATCTCCGAATCTTTCGGTGAGTTGGGGGCCAGAGTAGGTAGCCCTGCTGGAGGGCCCAGTCTGTCTATGGAGGAGGGGGCCAGGTGGTCTTTCACAAACCTCCTGCATCCCACAAAGGCCCCGGAAGCTGACCCTGAAGGGCTACCGCCAGCACTGGGTGGTGTTCAAGGAGACCACACTGTCCTACTACAAGAACCAGGACGAGGCCCCGGGTGACCCCATCCAGCAGCTCAACCTCAAAGGTGAGTGTACCGGGGCAGGGCTGGGTGTGGTCCTCACCTGTCGGCTGGTTTCCTCCTGGAGACTGGGGAAGATGCCCTCTGTCCTGAGGTTATGGTGTGGAGCCGGCATGCACTCCAGGACCTCAAGTGGCACTGCCCCTCCCGACCTCCTAGGCCACCCCTCTCTCCCTCCAGGCTGTGAGGTGGTCCCTGATGTTAATGTCTCTGGCCAGAAGTTCTGCATTAAACTCCTAGTGCCCTCCCCTGAGGGCATGAGCGAGATCTACCTTCGGTGCCAGGATGTGAGTGAGGACGGGGCAGGGGCTGGGGCAGGGGTAGGGGCTGAGGGGCTTCAAGGATGGGGCAGGGCAGGGTCAGGGCTTGGCTAGCGCTGTCCCCCTCACCCCTCCCACCCAGGAGCAGCAGTACGCCCATTGGATGGCCGGCTGCCGCCTGGCCTCCAAGGGCCGAACCATGGCCGACAGTAGCTATGCCAGCGAGGTGCAGGCCATCCTGGCCTTCCTCAGCCTGCAGCGCACGGGCGTTGGGGGCCTGGGCAACCACCCCCAGGGCCCTGATGCCTCTACCGAGGGCCTCAACCCCTACGGCCTGGTGGCCCCCCGTTTCCAGCGAAAGTTTAAGGCCAAGCAGGTACCAGAGGGAGTCAGGGTGGGAATGAGCACAGTGTTTACCCAGACACCCCTGAGCCCTAGGTCTCCACAAAGTCTTCCTTGAGAAAGCCATGTGCTCACTGGGCTTCTCCCACTGCGTCCCTGAGGCTGCGTGGCTGGTCCCCACCCTCTGGGAGGAGTCACAGTCCAGGTGGCCCTGTTCACCTCATGCCTGGCACAGTGCAAATCTGCACCTTGGCGGCCCCACCTGGGCACTGCCATTCCCAGGCTCACAGGCTGTCACCCTGACAGGGAGGTGGGGGCTCGGTGACTTTGGGAGAGGGAAATAGTGTCTTCAGCCCGTCACCAGTATGGTCCCGCAGCTCACCCCACGGATCCTGGAAGCCCACCAGAATGTGGCCCAGCTGTCACTGGCAGAGGCCCAGCTTCGCTTCATCCAGGCCTGGCAGTCCTTGCCCGACTTCGGCATCTCCTATGTCATGGTCAGGTATGGTCCCTGACTCAGCCCCTGCTGAGCACCGCCTCTGCCCTCAGCTGCCACCTGGCTGCTGTGTGCACACCTCCCGAGTGGGGTCTGGATAGGCACCCTGAAGACTCCCTTCCCTTGTTTGTAGGCAAGACTTAGTGAGGGCCCATGTGTGCCCCTCATGCTGCCCCTCCACAACAAACATGAGACAAAACTCATGCTGGGTGCAGGGCTCACGCCTGTAATCTCAGCACTTTGGGAGGCTGAGGCAGGAGGATCACTTGAGCCCAGGAGTTTGACACCAGCCTGGACAACGTAGAAAGACCCCTGTCTCTACAAAAAATTGTAAAAAATTAGGTGGGCGTGATGGTGGGCACCTGTAGTCCCAGCTACTTGGGAGGCTGAGGTGGGAGGACCTCTTGAGCCTGGGAGGTGGAAGTGGCAGTGAGCCGTGATTACACCACTGCACTCACGCAAGGGTGACAAAGCAAGACTCTGTCTCAGAAATAGGCCAGGCACAGTGGCACACATCTGTAATCCCAGCACTTTGGGAGGTTGAGGCAGATGGATCACCTGAGGTCAGGAGTTTGAGACCAGCCTGGCCAACGTGGCGAAACTCTTGTCTCTACTAAAATTACAAAAATTAGCTCGAGATACTATGGCATATGCCTGTGGTCCCAGCTACTCGGGAGGCTGAGGCAGAATTGCTTGAACCTGGGAGGTAGAGGTTGCAGTGAGCAGAGATCACACCACGGCACTGAAGCCTGGGGGAACAGCGAGACTCCATCTCAAAACAAAACAAAACAAAACAAAAAAACCTTAAAATTAAATGAAGAGCTCAGGCCAGGAGAGCAGAACCAGTTCTTGTCCCAGCTCTGCTGTGGATGGTTCACTGTCTGGGCCTGGGTTCGCCGGTCCGCAGGAGGGCTAGGGGTGGATGCCGTTATGGGGAGCGAGCCCTTTTGATTAGTTGTTTCCCAAGACTGCAGAGAAGAGAGCGAGACAGCAGCTCTCTTGATGAAGATACCAAAAACCAAAAAGTTACCATTTAAAGGCATGGCGTGTTTGCTGCATGCTGCTAAATACTATTGCGGGATTCTATCAATTCCCCTCCATTTTCCAGATGAGGAACTGGGGGCCCAGGGAACCCGAATGGCTTGCTCAGGGTCACACAGCTGGTGAGCTGCAGCATGGGAAAGGGCTCGCTCTCCAGCATGGCAGCACCTTGTCTGGGCAGATGGGGCCATGCCGGGATGTGGGGGGTCCCTTGCTCACACTGTCTCCCGCTGGGGGCCAGGTTCAAGGGCAGCAGGAAAGACGAGATCCTGGGCATCGCCAACAACCGACTGATCCGAATCGACTTGGCTGTGGGCGACGTGGTCAAGACCTGGCGCTTCAGCAACATGCGCCAGTGGAACGTCAACTGGGACATCCGGCAGGTAGGCCCAGACTGAGGGCAGGGATGGCGGGCCGGTGCCAGGCCGGAGCCGGATCCAGCCAGGGCGGGGCAGGGGTGCTCCCTTAGCCCACCCCCCATTCGCCCCTCTGACTGTCCCCTCTTCAGGTGGCCATCGAGTTTGATGAGCACATCAACGTGGCCTTCAGCTGTGTGTCTGCCAGCTGCCGGATTGTGCACGAGTACATCGGGGGCTACATTTTCCTGTCGACTCGGGAGCGGGCCCGCGGGGAGGAGCTGGATGAAGACCTCTTCCTGCAGCTCACAGGAGGCCACGAGGCCTTCTAAGGGCCATGGGACTGCCCCTGCCCTGCTCACCACCTGTCACGGCCACTCCCAAGCCCACACCCACTGGGACTCACTGCTCCACACCTGCTCCAGGCAGGCACCCAGCTGGGCATGTTCACCTGCTGTCACTGGCTTTGTGCAGGCCATCGACCTGGCTGGGCCAGACACCGCCATCACCCAGGCTAGGGATGGGGGTGGAGGTCCCCGAGCTCATGCAGTGCCCCCTTTCCTTGTCCGAGTGGCTGACGCTGATAGCCCTGACCTATCTGCAGTCCCCCAGCACACAAGGAAGACCAGATGTAGCTAGGGGATGATGAAGCCTGGTTTTGAACTGGAGTTTCTTTCTTGTTACTTTTTAAAATTTCTTCTTTGTATAAATTAATATTTTATTGTTGGATCCTCTTCCTTCCTCTGGAGATGTGCTTGGGGCCACTCTGACACTCTGTCTCTTCATCACCAGCCAAGGAAAGGGGCTTTCCTGATAGAGACAAGTTGGTTAGAGAAAGGGAGATCTAAGTCAGCCTGGGGTTGGAGGCTAGGAGAGAGGGGAGGGCAGAAGGGCATAGGCTTCAGGCACAAATAATAGGGGCTGGGGTGGTGGCTCTCACGAGTAGGGCGTAGCTGGAGGGCCTCCTTGAAGTACTTGGGAAGCAGGAGGCCATCAGTATTCCCTGGAGTCAGAATCACTCCATTGGCGGAGCGGAAGAAGGGCATTCCATCTGCCAACAGAGCCAGAGATGTGACTCATGCTCTCTGGAAGGCCAGGGCAGCCCCTGCTTTGTCCAGACTCACCTGCCAGGGCCAGGGGTCCATCGATGAACACAGCTATTTCACAGTGTGGCCGCATGCCTGCAGAGACAGCGGGAGCTGAGGCCTGGGCAGACTGGGGTCCTGGGCTGGGGGATGTGGGGGTGCTGCCCCATGTTGGGCATGGGGTGGCCTCAGAGGAAGGTTGTAACCTTTGGAGGGGACCTGGGAGTACAGAGTGGGTGGGAGTAGCTAGGTGGAGGGGAGGTCACTGACCACTGATGACACCAGGGTCTCCAGGCAGTCCTGGGGCCAGGTGGATATGCGTCCTTCCCCGGCAGGACAGGCCCTTAAGCAGGATGGATGGCCAGTGCTTCCAGAATGTACCATGGACTAGCACCGGGGGCAGGGCCTGTGGTGTCTCCAGGGGCATCAGCTCCAACTCAGGTACCTGGTTGAATGGGCAGCAGTGAGACCACCTTGGCAGGCAGGGGTCCCTCCCATCTGGCTGTCCCGCTTGTCCCCTCACCCTGACCTGCAGGGAGTGGCCCTGGTTGGCCCGGATGAGAGGGCCAGTGCTGGGATCCCCTGGCTGCAGGGCAAACCGCTGCTTCCCACTGGTGTCCACCACGCGCTGCACATCTTCAGCAGAGAAGCGGCGGAACTGGGGCAACTGCAGGAGGGCACCCAGGGGCACGAAGCCATCTGCGGGCAGGCAGGGTGCTCAGGAGCCAGCCTTGCTCTGGACTGCACCAGGGTTAACGGGGAGCCACAGGTAACACAAAAAAAGTCTGAACTTGGGAATCAAATGGGCATCCTCTGTGGGACCTTTGGAGTCTCCCCTTTCTGCTGGGCGCGGTCGCTCACGCCTGTAGTCCCAGTACTTTGGGAGGCCAAGGCAGGTGGATCATGAGGTCAAGAGTTTGAGACCAGGCCGGGCGCGGTGGCTAAAGCTTGTAATCCCAGCACTTTGGGAGGCCGAGGCAGGTGGATCACGAGGTCAAGAGATCGAGACCATCCTGGTCAACATGGTAAAATCCCGTCTCTACTAAAAATACAAAAAATTAGCTGGGCATGGTGGCACGTGCCTGTAATCCCAGCTACTCAGGAGGCTGAGGCAGGAGAATTGCCTGAACCCAGGAGGTGGAGGTTGTAGTGAGCCGAGATCGCGCCATTGCACTCCAGCCTGGGTAACAAGAGCGAAACTCCGTCTCAAAAAAAAAAAAAAAAAAAGAGTTTGAGACCAAAACAAACAAAAAAACAGAAAAAAATAAAAATAAAAAAGATTTTTAAAAAAGTCAAGACCAGCCTGGCCAACACGGAGAAACCCCATCTCTACCAAAAATACAAAAATTAGCTGGGCGTGATGGCATGCACCTGCAGTCCCAGCTGCTCGGGAGGCCGAGGCAGGAGAATCGCTTGAACCTGAGAGGTGGAGGTCGCAGTGAGCCAAGATCACGCCACTGCACTCCAGCCTGGACCACAGAGTGAGTCTCCGTCTCAAAAAAAAAAAAAAAAAAAAAAAAAAAAAAAAGTCTCCCCTTTCTCGGCCCGTTTTTTCAACTTACACAGAAAGAGGATCTGCCTCACGGAGGGGCAGGGAGGTGAGTGCACACTCTCAACACCAGGTGCCCCATACCCTCCAGGGCACGCCTTCGAGGTAAGTGCTGATCTGGCTGCTTAGCTGGAGAGGGCATCGCCAGGCCTGGCCCAGATAAGAGCTCTCCTCGGTCTGCTGTGGGCATGACAGGGTCTCTAGGCCTTGCTCTCCTCTGTGCATGGGGAAGAAGTGCCCTCTGTGCCTTCCTCAGGGAGCAGTGGAGGCAGCCGTGGGGGAGAGGTCACAGACGGGCTCTTGTTTCTCTCTAGGCTCAAGCCCCAGCCTCCAAAGCCCCTACTTACCGGCTCCCATAGGAAGCCCCAGCTTCAAGGCCCCATGGCGCAGGGCGTAGGACAGGGCCTTGGACAGCTGCACGTCTCGGTCCTGAAAGAACCCAGGGGTGGTCCCTGGTCTCCACGGTGACCCTGCCCTGCTGCCCACCCTGAACCCTCAATGACCACTGCAGAGAGAGCCCGGAGGGAGGGGACTGCCAGTGGTCTCCAGGAAGAGTAGAACCCTTCAGCCCCGCCCCCAGCAACTCCCAGGGAGCCTGGACTTGTGGGAGGGGGTGGGGAGGAGGCGCGCACCTGTTCCCGGGGTCTGAGGGCCCTTCTACCCCTGGGCCCTGCTGCTTCCTGCCTTCCTCCTCCAGCGGAGTTCATGGCTAAGACCTGTGGGGCAGTGATGAGGGGGCACTGCTTTAAGGCCCCTCCCAAGTCCCCACCCCTCCCAGAAAATCACAAAAGTCTCAGGAAGTGAGCTCTGGGTGGGGGTATACGGCTCATTCAATTCACGCCCCCCACCACGTCCCAGGTGTAGAGAGGGAAATTACGGCCCAGAAAGCCAGACTTGCCCAAGGTCACACCATCAGCCAGGAGCGCAGGGAGGCCGAGCCCCGCATTCCAGCTCGCGGGTGCGTCCCACAGGGTGGTCTGGGAGGCGGGACCGACGTGCAGACTGACGGGGCGGAAGTGTCTGGGCAGCGGAGACCAACCACCAGGCTCCGCGACCGCGGCGGGGCGGGCGGCCGACCCGCCAATGAAAAGCCGCGGGGGAAGTGGGCGGGCACTTCCGCTTCGGGGGACGGGGCGGAGCCTGCGGGACCCGGCGGCCGGTGAGCGCCGGCTGGAGGCTGGAGCTTCTGGGCCCTGGGAGGGGGGGGATCTCCGCGCGACCAGGGTCGGAGGCAGACCCTGGGTTTGGGGGACGTGGGCATTTGGGGTCACCTGAACCCAGGACCTCTGGGTGGTAGGGATGCCCGGGCGTCCTGGACACCCTGCGGGACTCGGGGCTCCCGCGGGGAAGATGGGACGCTTCGCTGCCCAAGGAGTGGTCGGGGGGGGGGCGTGCAGAAGGGCTGCGGGTGCCCTCAGGAGGTCTGCGACAGAGGAGGCCAGCTGCGCAGCCCAGGAGTGGCAGTGGCCCTCCTGGGTGACAGGTCTGGCTGTATCTTCCCCCAGAGCTGCCCCCCATGGACCCTGAGGTGACCCTGCTGCTGCAGTGTCCTGCGGGGGGCCTGCCCCAGGAGCAGGTCCAGGCTGAGCTGAGCCCCGCCTATGACCGTCGCCCACTGCCAGGTGGGGACGACGCCATTACTGCTATCTGGGAGACCCGGCTAAAGGCCCAACCCTGGCTCTTCGACGCCCCCAAGTTTCGCCTGCACTCAGCCAACCTGGTGCCCACTGGCTCTCGGGGGCCACAGCTGCTCCTACATCTGGGTCTTACTTCCTACCGGGACTTCCTGGGTACCAACTGGTCCAGCTCAGCTGCCTGGTTGCGACAGCAGGGGGCCGCCGACTGCAGTGACACGCAGGCCTATCTGGCGGACCCACTGGGGGTGGGTGCGGCACTGGCCACGGCTGATGACTTCCTTGTCTTCCTGCGCCGCTCCTGGCAGGTGGCTGAGGCCTCTGGGCTGGTGGACGTGCCTGGTGGGCACCCTGAGCCTCAGGTGAGATGCCAACCTGGGCACAAAGACCCAGACAGCTCAAGGGAGCTGCAGCTCTCCACCCTCCCAACCCTCCCAGCTTTGGTTTCCTTGTCCCTTAAAGGGAAAATTGGCCTGGTGTTTCTCGGAAAGTTTGCTCAGGGCGGTCCGGCTGCCTCCCCTCTGACCCCTGCCCCAGTCCTGTGAGAAACTAGAAGCATGGGGAGGAAAGATCACGAACATGAAGAAGATACCCTACCCCATCCCACCCCGTGTGACCCCTTTGAAGCTGGACCTCTGGTTGTCTGCCTGGAAAAGGACACCAGACTCTTACACTGTGTCCCATCAGGATCTCAGGGCCACCAAGCATAGGCTTGCTGGTCCTGAGATGGGGTGGGAGGGAAGAGGATGGGGAGCAGGGGCTAAGCCTGACTTCTCATAGGCCCTGTGCCCTGGTGACAGCCCCCAGCACCAGGACCTTGCTGGGGAGTTGGTGGTACGTGAGTTCTTTTCCAGTATCCTTCAGGAGATCTGTGATGAGGTGAGTGAGGTTGACCTGGACAGGGTGGTAGACATGAAGGGAGGCATAGGACTTGCCAGAATTCTACAGGTCTGGGCTGGCAGGAGGCCTGTAGGCATCTGGCCAGCATTGAAGGAAGAAGTTGGCTTTGCAACTAGACATACTTGGAGTGGAATTCTAGCCCTCAGTACCCGCTGCCTTGGATTCTTCTTTTCTTTTCTTTTTCTTTTTCTTTTTCTTTTTTTTTTTTGAGACAGAGTCTCAAACTGTTGTCAGGCTGGAGTGCAGTGGCATTATCTTGGCTCACTGCAACTTCCACCTCCTGGATTCAAGCGATTCTCCTACCTCAGCCTCCTGAGTAGCTGGGATTACAGGCGCATGCCACCACGCCCAGCTAATTTTTTGGTATTTTTAGTAGAGGCGGAGTTTCACCATGTTGGTCAGGCTGGTGTTAAACTCTTGACCTCGTGATCTGCCTGCCTCGGCCTCCTAAAGTGATGGGATTAAAGATATGAGCCACTGCCCTCGGCCTCACCTGGCTAATTTTTGTATTTTTAGTAGCTATGAGGTTTTGCCATGTTGCCTGGCTGGTCTCAAACTCCTGGCCTCAAGTGATCCACCAGCCTCGGCCTCCCAAAGTGTTGGGATTGGCCAGCCAAGGAATCTTCTTTTCAATGGAAACAATCACAAATGTGTTGCCTCCTCCCCAAGTCTGTTGAAAAAGGAGTATGTGGGAGTCCCAGTCACTAAATTGACTGCCCTTGGGCGACTCTGGGCAACGTGCTCAGTCTCTCTGGTTTTGGTGCATCTGTAGAACAAACATGGCTATCAGGTGACATTCTGTGATGCTGGAACCTTGATCTAGAAGGCGTAAAATGCTGTACATGGGTAACAGGCTGATTTTCATTGAGAGGGGCAGGGATGTGGGCAGTGGCATTGATAGGAGGGAATCCCCCCCCTCCACCCTCCACCCCAGGTGAACCTGCCGCTGCTCACCCTGAGCCAGCCCCTGCTGTTGGGAATCGCCCGAAATGAGACCAGTGCTGGCCGAGCCAGTGCCGAGTTCTACGTCCAGTGAGTGGGCTCGGGTACTTGATCCTGGGTCTTGGGGAGGTGGATGGTGAGGAATGGGCTGAGGAAGCTGTGGCTCCACAGGGACCCCGCAGGGGCTGGTCACCCACTAAGCCACCTGTGTGTTCTTGTCCAGGTGCAGCCTGACTTCTGAGCAGGTGAGGAAGCACTACCTGAGTGGAGGTCCCGAGGCCCACGAGTCTACAGGAATCATCTTTGTGGAGACACAGGTGCAGAATGACAAACCGTCTTGGAGGCCAGGGCTGGGGCCTGCAAAGAGGCCTGGCAATGCTTGTCTTGTAGGGGAGGTGTTGGCTGGGTTACAGTTCCCTCCAGAGTCACAAGATTTGCCCTCAGTGCAAGGGAAGGGTCCAGGGACCTGTTCAGCCCCTTAACATGCCTCCCTAGGGACAGTGCAGAGGTCTCTCGAGGCTCAGGAATTCCAGGCACAGCCCTGGCAGGAGATGTGGCAAGACCTGAATGCCTGGGTCTCGCTGTCTCCCCACAGAACGTGCGGAGATTGCAGGAGATGGAGATGTGGGCTGAGCTGTGTCCCTCGGCCAAAGGCGCCATTCTCCTCTACAACCGGGTTCAGGGAAGTCCCACCGGAGCGGCCCTAAGGCCCCCAGTCCTACTCCAACCATTCTGAAGACAATAAAGGACTTCATTTTGTTGGGATCTGCTGTTTCTGTGATAGAGAGGAGCAGTGGGGCCTGAGTGTGTAAGGCAGGACACGTGACTTGGGGGGGGAAAAAACCCCGCCAGCCTCAGTGTCCCCTCTACCAGCAGGGGATGAGGGCTGTGCCTCCCTTTGCTGGCTCCAGTGAGGCTCTGGGGCAGAAGCAGCTCTGTGAGATATGCCTCGCTGCAGAGCGGAGCAGCAATGTAACGGAGAGACGGTGGCAGGGCCGAAAGCCTCACAAAGAGTCAGAGAGTGGGCTCCGTCCCTGTCGCTCCTGTCCAGCGCCCGCGCCTGTCCAGCGAGTCCGCAGGCGGGAGGGCCGGAGGCACCAAGGGCCAGTAGACGCGTAGGGGCGGGGTCTCAACCGTATTTTCCGGCCAGTTGGGCGTGGTCTTAGCAACCACGCCAATGAGAGCTGCGAGGGCGGGGCCTGGATGTACGCAGGAAATGGCGACAGCCGCGGAGTCCGTGCGCGGTGGGGGCGGGGCCTGGGCGGGGCCCCTCCTTCGCCCGGCCTCAAGCTCCCTGGGTGGGAACCGGGTCTTCAAGTCCTGGGCTGGTTGTCCAGACCCCGAAGCCAGCGCGGGGAAGGGCCGCGGATGTCCCAGTCAGAGGAAAGGGCAGGTCCAGGACACGCGGGGCTGGTCCTGGGCAAGAACCGCCCCCTCCCCGGGCCTGCTTCAGTCTTCCTTCGCAGGAATACCGGGCCAGGCCCCTTCCCTCTGTCCCGGGTGCTTGAAGTCTAGCCCCATCCTGGTCCCGATGCGCTCTTGGTGGCCTTCTTTTCCAGCTGCCCTCCCGCCGCCATGCTGCCCCTACTGCCCCTGCGCCTGTGCCGGCTGTGGCCCCGCAGCCCTCCCTCCCGCCTCCTCGAAACGGCCGCGGGGCAGCGGTGAGTTGGGCGCTGGGGGCCGGCCTGGTTGTTCAATGGGTTACTGTTTGTCCTACGTGCTGAGATATTTGTGGTCTCTACTGCGTGTCAGGAGGTTCCCAGGTTTGTCTCAGGTAACCCTCACCTTCCCTGTTGAGGATCGGAGATAAAGACCCCAAGGTCATACATCGATTTAAGCGGCAGAGGAGGAATTTGAGTCCAGGTCAAACCCAACGCTCTTACCACAGCTCTAGTGGTTTTCAAGCATCACTGTGCATAGCCCTCTGTGGGGCATGGGAGGCGTGTGCGTGGGGGTGCTGGGTACAAAATGCAGATTCCTGGCCTCTGCTCTCGAGATTCTGAACTGAAGGAATCAATTGGGTGGGGCTTAGGAATCAGTTTTTTCCAACAAGTTTTTGGACTCCACTTTCAGAGATCCTGACCTGTATTATGCCTGCAACACTCCAAAGGGAGGGCTGATTTGGAGACAGATCGGTCCTGGGACCTGTTTCAGCCTCTCAGCTCCCGGAGGCTCAGTTAAAGAGTGTGGCCCAAGGAGGGGCTGGGAAGGGCAGGGCGGAGCTATCTTCTGGGTTTCCTCGGCCCCTGCAGGTTTGGGACTCTCTCCACAGGTCCAGGCCCAGGAATTATTATGACGTGTTGGGGGTACATCCTGGTGCCAGCACTGAGGAAGTTAAACGAGCTTTCTTTGCCAAGTCCAAAGAGGTAACAGTGCCCCTAATGTGGGGAGGGGGAGCAGGAACAGCCAGTGGGGGCATGCTTCAAGTTCCCAGGAATAGACTTGCATCTCTGGCTGGTGGCATGTTCTTTCAGCCCTCAAAGGGGGTGGCAGGTGCTCAAGGGCAGGGGAAAGGCTGTGGGCAGGAGCCAGGGGTCGTCTGATGGGCTGGGCTTGGTTTTCTTGACCTACCTGATCTTCAGAAACCTGGAACCGGGCATATGGTAAATGCAGGGGGTTGGCAGGTAGGAAGGGCTTGAACACAGGAGGGGGCAGGAGTCCATGGCTTTCTGGCCTTCTGAGGAGTAGGAAGGCCAGAGTGAGGGTCACTGACCATGTGGGGCCTCTGGCCATGACTGGAGCCCTGGTGGGTGGATGTCATCAGCATGGGTCCTGGGGAGGGACAGGCAAAGGGAGATAAGGGGAGTCCTGCCCCACCCCAGCTGCACCCAGACCGGGACCCTGGAAACCCAGCCCTGCACAACCGCTTTGTGGAGCTAAACGAGGCATACCACGTGCTCAGCCATGAGCAGAGCCGCTGCAGGTATGATGACCAGCTCCGCTCACCTAGGCCCCCAAAGTCTCCAGGAACCACGGCCCGTGACAAGTCTACCCGCCAAACACACAGGTACAGTAGTCCTGCCCTCTCCTTGCCCCACCCCAGGTCTCTTGGGGAGCTTCATTTCCACAGTGTCCCTTCCTCTGCCTCCTAGCAGCTCCTGGGAGCACCCCAATGCACAGTACTGGTCCCAGTTTCACCATGTGAGGCCACAGGGGCCCCAGGCTAGGCAGCAGCAACACAAATACAACCAGCAAGTGCTGAGGTACTGCCTCCTGCTCATGCTGGCTGGCATGGGCCTGCACTATGTCGTCTTCAGGTAACGCCTCTTCTCCCTGGGAGAAATGGGCAGAGGGCAGGAGGGTGGGCGAATTCCAGTGTGGTCAGCCGGCCCCGCACAGCACCTCGCGGCACGTGCTCTTGTGCTCTCAAACTGAGAGTTGCTTGAAATCGGTCTCTGGAGCCTTTCCTTACTTAGTGAAGACAGCACTGCACTAAGAGCTAACGTTGTCACTTACAGTTTTTCATATTTCAAATGTAAATCTTTCATGCTGGCTGCCAGGGAGGGACTGAGCCAAACAAAATCAAGCACAAGCAGCAAATGCAGCACAGCTTTCATTTGGCAATCCGCATCTCTCCGCCACTCTCACTCTCACACGTGCCATGAAGCTGATTTTCTTTTTTCTTCCTTTTTTTTTCCCTGTGGTGTTTCTTTCTTTTTTTTTTTTTGAGACGGAGTTTCGCTCTTGTTACCCAGGCTGGAGTGCAATGGCGCGATCTCGGCTCACCGCAACCTCCGCCTCCTGGGTTCAGGCAATTCTCCTGCTTCAGCCTCCTGAGTAGCTGGGATCACAGGCACGCGCCACCACGCCCAGCTGATTTTTTGTATTTTTAGTAGAGACGGGATTTCACCATGTTGACCAGAATGGTCTCGATCCCTTGACCTCGTGATCCACCTGCCTCGGCCTCCCAAAGTGCTGGGATTACAGGCTTGAGCCACCGCACCCGACAGTCTCACTCTGTCACCCAGGCTGGAGTGCAGTGGTGCAATCTTGGCTCACTGCAACCTCATCTCTGCCTCCTGGGTTCAAGCAATTCTTCTCTCTCAGCCTCCCCAGTAGCTGGGACTACAGGTGCACACTACCATGCCCAGCTAATTTATTTGTATTTTCAGTGGAGACAGGGGTTTACCATGTTGGTCATGCTGGTCTTGAACTCCTGACCTCAGGTGATCCACCCACCTCTGCCTCCCAAAGTGCTGGGATTACAGGCGTGAGCCACCGTGCCTGGCCACGAAGCTGATTTTCTATAGCAGATACCTAAAGGCCAGTGCCCACTGCTAGCAGCCTGCCTAGTTCAGTGATAGAGTTAGATGCACACCCTTTCTAGTCTTCTGGGAGGAGCACCCCATGTTCATAGCTGCTGTCACACCTTGAAGGGCAGCCAGGGCCTTTGGATGCCATTGGACTCTGGACAAGCCAGGGCCACTCTGAGCTCTCCCCACCTATCATAGGCAGTGTCAGGCTGAGGTCCCTAACCCTGTAAAGGTTAAAGAGCTGTAAGACCCCTAGAGTGGGGTAGAAGAAGGCAGGACTTGAGGGACAGCAGGAATTGGAGTCCCAGAGTTAACTGTGACCCATTGCAGGATGGTGGAGCGGATGCACCTTAACTTCATGGATGAAAAGGATCGGATCATCACCGCCATGTACAACGAGGCGCGGGCGCGGGCCAGGTCTGTCCCTGCTCTATTCTGCCCCCCAGCTCCCTGTCCTGGCACTACCCTTGGGGATCTCTGTCCCAACCACCCAGGTGCCCTCTCCTCCAGGGCCAACAGAGCCAGCCTCCAGCAGAAGCAACAATGGCAGAAGCAGCAGCAGCCACCACCACCAGGGCCAACCCAAGGCCCCGAGATCGTGCCCCCAGGCTCTGGCCCCTGAGGAGCTCACCTGGTTGGGGGTCTGCATCTTGCTTCCTTCCCAGGACGGGCCCGCTCTCCAAAACGCGCGCAATAAAGTGATTGCAGAGCTCGTGTCCGGCTCCCTCTTTTAGGCCCAGCGCCCCCAGTCCCAGCCTCGCCAAGGGGCAGCGCCCCGCCCTCCGGGTTCTAGCGGGCGGGCGACCGGGGAGCCCGGCCCCCTGGGCGGTGCGTCCCCTTTCCCCTGCAGCGGCGTGAGGCGGGATGGGGTGTGTGGAGGGGGCGGGCCCCGCCGGCGGCCTCGCCCCCCCCACCGCCCCGCCCCCGCCCCACGGCCCGGTGGGGAGCGCGTGTCTGGGTCACATGAGCCGCCCGCCCGCCAGCCCCGGCCCGGCCCCCCGTCGCCCCCGCCGCCACAGCCCGCTGCCACCGGTCGCCCGCCTGCCCGGCTCCTCCTGCCGCTGCTGCGCTGCGCTGCGCTGCGCTGCCTGAAACCAGGGCTCGGGAGGGGGACGTGGAGGAGCCGCCCCCCGCGCCCGGCCCCCACCCGTCGCGTCCGGGCCCAAGCCATGGGGCTCTGGCTGCCGCCGCCCCCCGCGCCACCGGGCTAGGGCGATGCGGGCGCCCCCGGCGGGCGGCCCCTGCGGGCACCATGAGCCCCCTGCTCCGCCCCCTGCTGCTCGCCGCGCTCCTGCAGCTGGCCCCCGCCCAGGTACGTGCAGCCCGACAGCGCGCCAGCCCGCCTTGCCCTCTCTCAAGGTTGGCGGAAGTGAGGAGGCGACCCGCGGCCTCCGAGGGGATCTGCGGGGTCTGGCCTTGAACGCGGGCGTCTCGGGGGCCCGGCGCTTGCATCCCCTGAGAGGTGCCCCTCCCCGCCAGCCAGCCAGCGCTAGCCTGGGGCCA